AAGAAACACACTTTGGAGCCATGACAACCGTTGACCCAAAGTCAGTTTGATCCAAGAGCTAGTGTGTGGAGCTTCACATGGACTCATGGGCCCAGCAAGGGGTTTAGGATAGCTTCCACGGCTCCCAAAGTTGGCATGTCATGTTGGCATGCCCCATCAACAAGAAACATCCATGTTGCTGGTATCGACCCTACATTGCACCGCTTAACAAGTTTAGGGATCTATAAGTGCATTTTTAAAGTTTGTAGACTTAAGTGGCACACCCTTATAAGTTTGAGGGCCGATGCTACATTTAACTCCTCTAAAAAAAATTTAGTAGCAATGCAGAGTGATTTTACAGAGCAGCATCGTTACATGTTTTAAAGAATCCAATGCATTTTTTGTCAGCTCTCTGGAGTACACGCATTTGACAAGCTATGTATAAACCTGAACATAAGGACAAAAATCGTTGCAAATCTGACAATAGGTTAACCTAAGGGCATATGATACGTCAGTCCATGTACAGCACAAAATGTACTGCCCCTTCACGTTTTCCATGTTTTCAGGTTTAGTGTCGTAGTATACAAAAATATTTCAGTTTCCAACTATATTTGTTTTGTATTTGTACTAATCCCACAAGTAAGGTTACATTGTATTTACTCAATAGAAACGCAATCAGTTGCCAAACCATACACCTGTACACAGTACGTGATTTAATATTTATACTTCATGGTATATTCTAAAAGCATAAATGAGATTCTCAAATTGTATACGCGAAGTTTCCTTTTACAATTTCTTTACTCAACAGAAACGCAGTCACTAACAGACCGTACACCTGTACAAGATACAAAAAGAAATACTGACAAGTTAGGCTCTAATGGAATGAAGCACTCTACATACAGAGCGAAAAATGTGATCAGAGATATATATAGTGTGTAGCAAGAGGTTCACTCAGTACGTGTAAAGTGATTCAGTTTCGAATTTTATTGCGCTGATATCCCACAAGTTTCTTATTCCAATTCCAGAAGCAAGTTATTGACCGTTTCCTAGCATCAGTGCATAACAGCAGTGAACCTCCTCGATCTGGACACCCTTACTAATCTCCTCGGTCTCCTGGTGATTCTTCAAGCATGGTCGTATCTATGGAGGTCATGTCCTCATTGCCAGATGGTAGCACACAAGACACACGGATTATACTGGTTTGGGCTCATATGGAGTCCCTGCGTCCAGTTTGAAGGTGGATCTCTCTGTATTTATATGCTCAGTTACAAATGATGCTGCGTGTAGTTATGTGCTAATGTAAAAGATGGGATCCTGACCGGAAGGCCCTACCCCTGTTATAAAGACCAAGGGGGTACGTAGGGTTACAATGGATCCGATTGGCTAACAAATTGATTTCCTAATTTATTATATGGAATGTGCAACAGAATGATTCTATCTTATTCTCGGAATGACTTGTCCTCCAAACTCGTGGATTCGCCTGGCCTTCTAGGGCCTCATCCTTCATCGTCTTCGGCCCGGTAGACATGCATGGTTGAGTATATGGGCGGTAAAGGTAGCTTGGGCCCATATATCCGACAAGTTGTATATCGCTTCTAAAGATATGGACGATTTCTAGAGATATAGATAGAGGTGGTTCCTCTAGAAAGCAATTCTGACTACCTCTAAAAAGAGTTAAATGCACCAGTGACCCTTAAACTTATAAGGGTGTGTCACTTAGGTCCGCAAACTTTAAAAATATATTCTTGGGTCTCTAAACTTATTAAGTGGTGCATCATAGATCTATGTCAGCCACATGAATGTTTTTTACTGATGTGACATACCAGTGTGGCATATTTTTCTATATTTAAGAGCTCCTCTTTTTTCTTCTCTCACGAATAGATGCTTTCTTCTTCTTGCTTCCCACTTCTTTCACAACACTGCTGCCTGTGGACGATCGTGGCACCGGACAGATTGAGGTTGGCATGAGAGAAGTGGGAAGCCACAAGAAATACATTCACACGAGAAGAGGGAAGCAGAGGAATTAAATGTAAAAAAAAGCATGTCATCTTGGCATGCCCCATCATCAAGAAACGTCCATGTGGCTGGTAAGTGCACCACTTAATAAGTTTAGAGACCCAGAAATCCATTTTTAAAGTCACTATCGGTATTGTGGCCCTTCAAAGTATTGCATTTAAATGTATATACTTGGTATGCAATTATGTTAGTGGTGTTTTAAAGTGGTTTTCCTCATATATATGGTTTCTTATTATTTGATTTGATTTGATTTGATTTGATTTGATTTCTGATTCAAAAACTAGGAAATTATATTATGGACATTTAATGTGCAAATAAAATTTTGGAAGCAACAGACAGATCAAGGAATTGCTTTCTTCTCATTGCATCGGGTATATACGTTGCTCCAGAAAAGACGGCCGAGTTAACATTGAAACTGCTGTTACAGGTGTGTCCAAAATATTGAAACTTCCTTACAAGTCTGAGGGCCGCTAGTGCATTTAACTCCTCTAGAACTGTTTTTCATAGCAGTGCAGAGTGATTTTATAGTAAATGTTTTTCGTAGCAGTGCAGAGTGATTTTACAGACCAGCATTATTACATGTTTTAAAGAATCCAATGCATACACCAGTCATTTTTGTCAGTTTTCTCTGGAGTACACGCATTTGACAAGCTATTATAAACCTGAACATAAGGACAAAAATCATTGCAAATCTGACAATAGGTTAACCTAAGGGCATATGATACGTCAGTCCATGTACAACACAAAATGTGATCAGACTGAGTTACTGCCCCTTCACATTTTCCATGTTTTTCAGGTTTAGTGTCGTAGTATACAAAAATATTTCAGTTTCCAACTATATTTGTTTTCTACTAATCCCACAAGTAAGGTTACATTGTATTTACTCGACAGAAACGCAGTCAGTTAGTTGCCAAACCATACACCTGTACACAGTACGTGATTTAATATTTGTACTTACATGGTATATTCTAAATGAAATTCTCAAATTGTACACGTGAAGTTTCCTTATAAAATTTCTGTACTCAACAGAAACGCAGTCACCAAAACAGACCATACACCTGTACGCAATGACACAAAAGGAAATACTGATCGACAAGTTAAGCTAATGGAATCACTCTACATACAGAGCGAAAAATGTGATCAGATATATATAGTGTGTATAGCACGGTTCACTCAGTACGTGTAAAGTGATTCATTTACTAATTTTATTGCTCTGATATCCCGCAAGTTTCTTATTCCAATTCAAAGATGCAAGTGAACCGTTTCCCTAGCATGAGTGCACGACAGCAGTGATCGATTTGGTAGCCTGATCCCTTCTCCACTGTTTTGCACACACCTCTAACAGAAAGCAGCAGTTCCAATGTTAACCCGTCCGTCTTTTCTGGAGCAACGTTTTATACCGGATGCAATTAGAAGAAAGCAATTTCTTGATCTTTCTGTTACTTTGAAAAAATTATTTGCACATTAAATTTCCATATTGTAATTTCCTAGTTTCTGAACCAGAAATTAAATAAACTTAAACAAGCAACCATATATATGAGGAAAACCACATTAAAACATGACAAACATAATTACATACGAAGTACATACATTTATATGCAATATTTTGAGCAACCAGATACCGATATAGTGTGCAAGCATATTTCGTCAAGGTTTCAGTTTAAAACAATATAGTGTCATAATTTTGATACATCATTATTGTTAATCTGAATCTTTCTTAACTTTTCGTAGAAGAGGGTGAAGGAATGCTGAAGCAGTTAATCGAACAAAAAACCTGTTACAAGATGATGAGAGCCTCCTCTTAGACATTATACCCTCTTCATCGATGGTAAGTCATTGAAAATCCAATCATATATATATATGTGAGTTCTTGAGCTCCTGCAAGGCTAGCTTTCAGTGATTACCGGTGCAGTGGGGTGAGGGATGCATGGGGCAGGGGAGATAAGAATAACAACACAAAGTGATAGCAAGGGAAAACATTAAGTGAGGGCTGTCACAAGGTAGAAGGTAATGTTGCTTACAATGTTGATTCCTAAGAAGCTGTCAGCCACAAGACTGGGTAGAGAGAGAGAGACATGGAGTCGAAGAGGAGCCGATGCACTGCCATATCAACTTGAAGAGAGGGCGAAAAGAAGTGTCGTAGCGCACTGGCTCGGGCGAGAACAAGCCGCTATATATACACAAGTGTTAGATGCGTGGGTGGTTACTACACGCATTGTTTACTTGAAGTTACATGTGACGTAACGGAACCATTTTGTCTTAATTTTTCACGACTACAAATTTATCTATGGCCCATGGGAATTTGGGCCACCAAAAGAACTAAAGGGATCTTTAACCGCAGTGGTAAAAGATGTCGTGACGGAATCCGACATGTGAGCATAAGGCATTGCAAAAGACTCTATTTAAAATGGGAGATTTCAAACATTAAAGGTGGTGACGGTATGTGCTTCTTCTTGCAATGAGTATAAGTTAATTGGTTTGGAAACTTATAATGACGATTAATTTCCACACTAAGGATTTAAAGAATGTGCAAACTGTGATGATAAAATAACTCAGTGAAGGAATCAATATATGACCGGTTCACATAGTTATACCTTAACTATGACATTTTTCATCAAAGTAATTTGCATTGAAGGTATTATTTTTAAATAAGTATTTTTTTAATTTAATAGAACCTCCAAAAAGAATTTAAAGTAGACATAATTTATATGATAAAGAAGAGATAGATAATTGATAATTGCAGAAAGATTCCATCCACCTCCCATTAATGACATCATAAATGTAAGGGATAGATAATCATCTATGTTGCTTAAGGTTCACACTAATAATTGTACTCTAGTTTAATTTGTAGCGAGGGACAGATTCGTCAATGTACATACCCCTGGTTACTACTATAAATGGATCCACATAGCTCTCACACAACTCATCATAAGCAAACCCAAGATCTCCTCACCAACAACAACACTGCTTCAAATCATCTTCCCCATCCTGTTAAGAAACTATCGATGGAGAAGGTACTAGTTTTGATTGTTGGTGCAGGTCCATCGGGTCTTGCTGCAGCAACATGCCTCAGTGAGCACGGCATCCCGTATTGCATCGTCGAACGCGAGGATTGCAGTGCTTCACTTTGGCGCAAACGCACATATGATCGTCTTAAACTGCATCTTGCCAAGGAGTTCTGTGAGCTCCCTCACATGTCATATCCAAGTGATACTCCTAAATACATCACCAAGGAACAGTTTGTGAGGTATGTTGATGAGTATGTCGACCACTTCAACATTTTCCCCAAGTATAGCACTTCTGTTGAGTCTTGCGAGTATGACGAAGTGAGCATCTGTTGGGACGTCATAGCACGTGACCTGGTAAATGGCCAAGTGACTGAGTATACAGCTAGGTTCTTAGTTGTAGCCACAGGCGAGAACAGTGAAGGAATCATTCCAACCATCCCTGGGCTACATGATTTCCCTGGTGATGTCATACACTCGTCATACTACAAGTCATGGAACAACTACGCCGGAAAGGGAGTCCTAGTGGTTGGATGTGGAAACTCAGGCATGGAGATTGCTTATGATCTTGCCTCCAATGGAGTGGAGACCTCCTTGGTTATCCGTAGCCCGGTATGATTCTAGCTAGTACATAAATTCCTTCCAGTTATGTTGATTATTGTTTTCTCATGTTAGTTGTAATTAATACAAATCATGGTATGCTTTTTATTAACCCTGCTCTTATTTTCACCACCTGAATCCATACAGGTGCATGTTATGACCAAGGATCTGATTAACTTGGGGATGAGGCTGCTCAAATGGCACCTTCCTGTCAAATTTGTGGATTTCATTATTTTGACTCTTGCAAACATCCGATTTGGTGACCTCTCCAAATATGGCATAGTCAGGCCCGATATGGGGCCGCTTCTTCTCAAGGCAAAGACTGGCCGGTCAGCAGTCATAGATGTTGGCACAACTCAGTTAATAAAGTCTGGTGTTATCAAAGTGAGCGCGTGAATTCGCATCTCTAGGCCCAAAAAATGAAAACACATACTATTTAAGTTGATAAATAAATTTTCATAGTTTATGTGTGACGCAGGTGCTTGGGCCAATATCATGCATCAGAGGAAATACAGTAGAATTTGAGGATGGAAAAAGAGCGACTTTGATTCTCTTGTATTCGCCACAGGATACAAAAGCACTGCAAACACGTGGCTTAAGGTATAGACACATATATTAGCTCTCATGACATGGAAAGTAATTACTTTCATTTTTTGTCAATACTCCAAGAGTGATGGATATTTTAAAAAACATTTAATGTATGAGCTACACCTTGCCATGCATGCATATGATGAATCTAGCATGATTTGATTCAGTATACTTACAAGAGGGGCAGTTACTAATAAAAGCATAAAATATACAAACCTCCACCACCACTTATAGGAAAGCTAGCTACATAGTTTTAGTTTTTTTTTTCCTACTGTCTTTGTTCTAAATTATAAGACGTTTTGCCTTTACTAGATACGTTGCTTCTGCTATGCACTTAGACATACATTATGTCCAGATACATAATAAAAAATATATATAGAAAAGCCAAAACATCTTATAATTGGGAAGGGCGCGCGGGAGTACAATATATAACCAGAAATTTGAGTACTGTTGAATTCTAGTACCAAATGTATTGAATTTCTTCAGAAAATGGATGGGTGTCATGTTCTTACAAAAGTTTATGTGATTAACAAAATGCAGAATGGTGAGAGCTTGCTAAATGCCAATGGCATGCCCAAGAGGGAGCTCCCCAATCCTTGGAAAGGTGACAACGGCCTCTACTGTGTTGGGCTGGGAATGGCAGGGTTGGCTGGTATTTCTTGTGATGCAAAGAGTGTTGCTGCAGACATCAAGTCTGCTGTAGATTCGATGGGGCCATTTTAAGTGGCTTCTGCTGCTTGCTGGAGTTACACACCAGGAGATCAACTGCATGCGCTCGATCGATTTCTGTTTAATTTCCCTGAGGTTGCTCCAGTGTGGTGCTAGTTAAGAATAATGTTTGTTGGCTTGTGAACTCTTTAGTCTGTGTTCTACCGTACCGTCATGAGCGTATAATTTGTGTTTGTTGTTCCTTGATAAGAACTGTGTTTGTATATATGTATATATGTTTGTATACATGTGTTTCGTAATGGTGTGTAATATATATGTGTTGTCATCTATGGTGAGTTGTGTTCGTGCGTGCTATATGTGTCTGTATTTGTACTATGTAATTCAGAAAAAAAAAAAAAAATGGTGTGTAATAATATATATGTTGTTCAAATCCTATGGTATGATAGTAAATTATATATAATATGGCACCATTAGTACGGAGTCTAGGGGATATCTCTAGTTATTTGATTTGACGATCACTGTTATTTAGAAACAATATGACTCATTGCTCGCATCTTGTTGGTTACGTTCCTGGCGGCACTGCTCATCTCACTAGCTCCAACGACGGTGCATGCATGTCACATCCGATGTTAAGGATAAAATAGGATGCATAATTTTATGTGTATTTAGAGGTCAGTCACACATATAAGCCAATAAATTATAAATAGTATCACCACAAGTGTTTATTACATCACGAATAATAAGACATAGTCTTCACATAAATATAGTGGAAGTGTAAAGAAAAGTTTCTCGCGGATGCTCCATATCACAAGGACGTCAACTGGTTGACCACATGTCTAGTATTCCTCAGAAAAGTCATCATTACCATGGTCATCTGTTAACCATCCAGAATTTTTATCTAAATAATAAAAATAAACAAGCGTAAGTACGTGTCGTACTAAACAAGTGTAACATGGGGTTGGTGAGGCTCAAAAGGTTTTCCACAGGTTTAACAGCATTCAGCTTTTAGTTGTCACAATTTTAGCATAAGAGTAGCAACAACTTGGTTCAATTCCCAAAGTAAAACACATGATCAATGTAAACATGAATAATGAATAGCATAAACGAATAAATTCTTAGTGATCATCTATTCCATAAATGTTCTAAGGTCGCTCGTGACCGTGAACACAGCTGATATACCAGTTTTACACTCTTCAGAGGTTGTACACTTTTATTCTGAGTCGTGATACCCATATGGCCGGGTTTATAATTCTCAAAACACTTCCAAGGTGAGCAGGCAGGGGTCACTATGAAGCCTTTCAAAGGTTCATCTAACAAGTTAGGGCCGCTAGGTTTCTGTGGTCAGCGAATGTAGGGACTCCCCTTCCGACAGACACAATAACGCGTAGCCTATACACTAATGGACAGAGGCCACACTATATCCAATCCAGAACACACCCCTCTTACACCAAAAAGGTAACCTCTAACCAGCTAGAAAAGGTCCTCATACTGAGCTAAAGCCAGAGCCATGTAGCCCTCACAGCTATACTGTAAGTTCCAGATAATCACTTACAGATAAGTCCTTAGGGAGAGAAATCTGAAGCATTTAGAAAGTAGCTAAATACTCTAGCCCCTAGTTTCTAAGTTGCTAAAAAGTCATATTTTAATGTTTATTGCATATACCATTAGTCAAGTTATAAGAACATGGTTTAATTGAGCACTAGCAAAGCTACCCAATGCACATCCCAAAGGTGACAAGGTATAAGTTCAATTGTAGGGAATCCCTATCAAGATGACACATGCAACATGAATTAAATGTATTAAAGTTGATAGAAAACAAGGATAATCCCATGCTATACTTGCCTTGAACAAACTGCTCCTGCTGATCCTGCTCATCCAAGTAATACTTTTGGTCCCCATGAATTACTCACCGTCTATACTCGATAATTACAGCAACATACAAGCATCCAGAAGCAATCATACAAAGTAAACAAAAGCTATAGATTATGATAGTACACCAATAAGCATAAAATCAAGATGAAAACTTTGTAAAACAAATCTACGTCTCACTACGAACACACAGACGTGAAGATCACAAAAATCAGAGCTAAAACGAAGATGTTATGAATTAAACAAGATTTCCTTTAGTAAAATAATAGATTAAATCTAACCTTGAATTTTAAAAGTTGAAAACATACTTAACAGTAGTATGAACATGTAGATTATAGAATTATGAACCTAACTCAAGTTGAACCGATCAAATCAGAGTTAAAACGGAGATTTTATGGCTAAAACAAGATTAGTGGCAAAATTGTAAATAGATGAAAACGTATTTTGGATCTAAACCGAAGGAAACTACGCTTTCTAAAAGAAGAAGGCACATTCGGTGATTGCGCTTTGGACTGCGGGTTCTATAATTAAAAACCCGAGGGACCCTTTTGCAAAATGGCCGACCAAATCGGTATAATGAATACCGGCTGTTGGATCTCGATCTAACGAACCAGAACGGATCGGGCGGGGATAAGACATCGCCGGCTAGTCGGCGGCGCCATGGCCGGAGCAGGTGGCGCTCATGGTTTAGAGCCTATGGACCACCGTTTGATGAACGAAAGACACGGGGAGAAAGAGGGGACGACGGCGGACTCACCGAGACCGGAAACAAGGGCAGCAGACCAACGATGGCGCGCGACGGCTACTCGAACCCGACGACGGCGGCAGCGCTAGGTCTACGGTGGCTGCGAGCTCTAGGCAAGGGTGAAAGCTTGCTCTAGGGTTAGGTAGGAGAGTGGCGCGGCATGGGCTTGACTTTTATGAGGCGGGGCGGCGTGGGCAGCACGCCAAGACACGTAGAGGAGGCGGACTCGGCGGCGACGACGGCGGCGGTGTCCGGCTCGGACACGATCCGAAGGAAGAGGACGACGCTAACTAGTGGGCCCGACATGTCAGCGATTCAAGGCGCGGGGTCGGGCTATCAGCCACACAGAGAGAGAGGAAGGGCACGACGCATCGACTGGCTACGGGCCGAGCGAAGATGGGTCACGGGCGCTTGCTAGGCCACGGGCGTGGGAGTGAGGCGGGAGAAAAATAGGCCGCACGGAACTAGGCCAGCGGAACTGGACCAGTGGGTCAGAAGCAAGGAAGGGGAAATGAAATCTTTTTTTTATTTTCCAAACTAATTTCCAAACAACTTTTGAATGCAAATTCAAATCAATTTGAAATTTGATTTCAAAGCACACAATACAAAAATAATATGCAACAGCATGAATGCATAAACATGTAGGTAACCTTATATTTGATTTTAATTTGATAAAATTTATTATTTTTCCATGTTACATGCTCACACTAATGCATAAATAATTACAATTCTCCTATTTTCAAAATGTTGAAAATTTTAGGGTGTTACAATTCTACCCCCCTTAAAAAGAATCTTGTCCTCGAGATTCGAACGATGCTTACTCAAAAAGCTGTGGGTATATTTTTCTCAGATCCTCTTCCCTTTCCCAGGTAGTTTCATCTTGAGATACCGATTCCACTGAATCTTACACATCTTTATAACTCGGCTCCTTGTAACTCTTTCTGCCGTTTCCAAAATCCTTACCGGAAACTCCTCATAAGTGAGATCTTCCTTAACTGCGAGCTCTTCTAGCGGTATCTGCTCCTCTAGTACACACAAACACTTCTTTAATTGAGACACATGGAACACATCGTGTACACCAGACAAACTCTCAGACAATTCCAACTGATAAGCTACTTCTCCACGTCTCTCTAAAATCTTGAAAGGCCCATTATACCTTGGTGCTAACTTGCCTTTCATATTAAACCTTCTCACACTTCTTTTAGGCGACACCTTTAGGTAAACATAATCTCTGACTTCGAAAACCAATTCTCTCCTCCGAGTGTCAGCATAACTCTTATGTCGAGATTGAGCCACTCTTAAGTTATCTCTAATCATCCTTACTTGCTCTTCTGCGTTTCTTAAAACATCCGGTCAGAACACGTGGGTTTCTCTCCTTTGATTCTAAAACAACAGGGTTCTACACTTTCGTCCATACAAAGCTTCAAAAGGTGCCATATTGAGACTCTTCTAATAACTGTTGTTATACAAGAGCTCTGCATAAGGCAAACTCTTGTCTTAACTTGTACCATACTACAACACACAAGCTCTCAATATGTCCTCTAATATCTGATTAATCCTCTTAGTTTGTCCATCTGTCTGAGGATGATGTGCTGTACTAAAATTTAGCTTCGTTCCCAACAAACTATGTACTTGCTGCAAAAAATGAGACGTAAATTGAGTACCTCGATCAGACACAATTTTCTTGGGAACTCCATGTAGACACACTATCCTCTCTATATATAATACAGCCAATTGGGTCTAGTATAGGTAGTCTTGACCAGTAAGAAATGAGCCACTTTAGTTAACCGATCCACTATCACCCAAATTAAATCATAACCTCTCTGAGTGCGTGGTAACCCAACAATGAAATCCATACCAACTTCTTCCCACTTCCACTCAGGTTCTTCATTGGTTATAATAATCCTGCAGGTCTTTGATGTTCAGCTTTGACTCTCTAACATGTATCACATAAAGCAACATTTTCAGCAACATCTCTCTTCAGTCCGTACCACCAATACTTCTCTTTCAGATCCAAGTACATCTTGGTACTCCCAGGGTGAATAGAATAAGTGGACTCATGTGCCTCACGAAGAATTGCCTCTCGTATAGCCTTATTCTCAGGCACACATAGTCTTTTCCCAAACCAAAGAGTTCCATTATCATGTATACGGAAACCTAGTGCCTTACTAATCACTATGTTCTCTACTATCTCTTTCAACTTTGCATCCTATAACTGGCCCTTTCATATTTCTTACTCTAGTGTAGATTCTATCACCAACTCCACTGCATTAGTGACAAAGCCCAAGTTCAGTCGCTCAAATTCAGCACACAACTCACTTGACATAGGTGCCACTTGCACCTCATTGGCATAACTCTTCCTGCTAAGAGCATCGACAACAACATTCGCCTTTTCTAGGATGATAGTGTACTTCCATATCATAATCTTTAATCAACTCTA